GATAAGAACTTTCGAGGAAGTACGAAAATTTGTGAACATTCATGTTGTGAACGGATTTGGCTCACCTCCTGTACAACATCTCTCCATTTCTACCAATGTACATTTCATTTAATAGTATCTGTCCTCCTTTAGATCTAAGGGCCAAGATTTATTTAGATTAAAAAAAACCCCTAACCATTGTTAAACTAAACATTCACTTGTTGGGTAAGTATCAAATTGGAAAGAGAAATCATCCATCCGAAATCTTTGGTGCAACTTCGTTCTGGTTGAAAAATATTTTCTTATTCAAATTTTTTATTCTCAGTTCTAATTTGGAGTTTCCTATTCTCAAGCAGCAATTTGCTTTTCTTGTTATTTTTCCTCACGTTAACTTTAACAACATAAATTTAATAATGCAATTGCCAACTACAAAAAACACAATATAGTACACTTATTTGGTTCTAAGAAAAAAAGAAGGTAAAAGAACAAAAAGAAGCTGTTATGATGACCATGAAAATAATTTTTCATTTGAAGGGATTTGGGGGGAAAGATACTAAAGATTTGGAGGTTCAATTCATGAAAATATAATAATAAAAATAAAAATCCATGAAAAAGGATTAATCTTTGCTGGGAGTTGAGTCACCAAAATGGTGTTGCGGCCTGCGAGATTCTCGCATGATTTACTGTTAACTATAAAGACAGGATAAAATATAGAATTGTCGCATAAGTATACTTGGGCCCCGTTTGGCCATATATTTTGGCACCGTTTTTTTAAATCTTTTTTGAAAACATTGTTTATTTATAGATTAATGATCTATTTTTGAAAAATTTCTGAAATTATTTTTCAAGTTCCCAAATCTAGTTTAGGGTAGATTTTGGATAAAACTTGTTCTCCCACTCACAAAACGTCAAATTTTTTTCAAATAAAATGCATGTCCAAACATAATTTCAACTTCCAAAAATTATTTTTCAAAATTACTTCAAAAATTATTTTTTCAAGTTTCAACTAAATCTATGTCCAAACGCTAGCTTGAACTCCAGCATATTATACTGGAGTTCCAGGGTAAGTATGCTGGAACTCCAGCATAATATGATGGAGTTCCAGCATAAGTACACTAGAACTCCAGCATAATATACTAGAGTTCCAGCAAAGTATACGGTCCAATATAATATGTTGGAAGTTCAAACACAAGATCGGAAGAGC